TAAAGACCCCATTTCTCATAAGTAAAAAAAAAACAATGGTCAGTTCTTATAGGAGACATACCATAGTATATACGTACCTCATATAAAAACTTTTTACTGCAGCGTTTCTGAGATATGGGACATTGTTTCACTTTAGAGGGCTATAAAGACCCCATTTCTAATAAGTAGAGAAAACCAATGGTCAGTTCTTATAGGGGACGGCCCATATGATATGCTCACCTCATATGAAACCATTTTACTGCAGCGTTTTCAAGACATGGAACATTATTAAATTTTCGGAGGCTAGAAAGACCCCATTTCCAATAAGTAGAGAAAACCAAAGGTTAGTTCTTATACGGGACGGTCCACACGATATGCACACCTCATAGGAACCAATTTTACTACAATGTTTTTGAGATATGGGACATTATTTCACTTTAGAGGACTATAAAGACCCCATTTCTAATAAGTAGAGAAAACCAGTGGTCAGTTCTTAATATAGGGGACATGCCATAGTATATACGTACCTCACATAAAAACTTTTTACTGCAGCGTTTTCAAGATATGAAACATTATTTCACTTTAGAGGACTATAAAGACCCCATTTCTAATAAGTAGAGAAAACCAATGTCCAGTTCTTACACGTGATGTCCTGTTCTGCAGCGTTTAAAGATATATGGCATTTTTATACTGTAGAAGGCTATAAAGACCTAATTTCTAAGTAGAAGACATGAATGTCCAGTTCTTGTAGGGGACATTTCAGGTCATATGCAAACTACATATGAAGCTATTTTATTAAACGTTTTCATAAATTGTTATGGTTAAATATGCAAATGAGCACAAACTGATTCATTAGCGATTAATGCAAATAATCATCTTTATTCAAGAATGAAATATACTCTAGATAAAGATTAAAAAGCGAACCCACTGAATTGATTGCAAAAAGTAACTTATTACTTCACAACATCAAACAGTATAAAATCTTTAGTTAAATTAACTGCAAAATGCATGGGAGTTCAATGCAAACCAATTACAAGTCTCAAACACAATATGAGATAGAACAATTAAACAAGACAGGATGGAGAAGCACACACACACACACACTTTTTTTTATTCACTCATGCTATAGAGAAGGTTAGTCTCAGCAAAGGGAGCTGATTTCTCCTTTGCTGCAGCCCCACTTGCAGCAAGCGTTGGACAGTCCCACCACTACATCACGTCCTTTTCTGTCCACGGTACGCAACGCTTCAAGCACCTCCTGTGAAATGAGAGAGCGCACTGGCCTGCTGAACACGCCACCTTCCTGTTCCCCTTGTGCCAGTGACGGAAGATTTGAGTCAGGGGCATGCTGGGAGGACGGTGCAGCACCGTACAGCACTGCGCTGTCTGGAGCATTACTGTCATACGAGCTGAATAAGTCCAGTATTTCATCTGTGAAATAAGAGATGTTGTAAAACTATACATACATCACTATGATTTCTGGTGAAGAAACTCTTTTCACTCAAAAGTTGTCAGTTTTAACAATTCATTAAAGAAATAGCAAGTTACACATTGAATTAAACATGGAATTTTGAAATCGAAAGACTTATTTTCTTGTGGAACGTACTCCAATAATGTTTTATGTACAACTCTTAAAGAGTAAATTACAATACACTTTGAAGAATCTTAAATATATGAGAGTTTTGACTAGTTTTTAACATTTTTCGATCATACACCACTGGAGTTGATAAGATTTGTGTGTGTGTGTGTGTGTGTGTGTGTGTGTGTTTTGAAGTCTTTTTATGCTCACCAAGGCTGCATTTATTCATTCAAAATACAGTAAACACAATAATAGTGTGAAAAATGATTACAGTTTAAAATAACTGTTCTATTGTAATGTCTTTTAAAATGCTTGTTATGCAAAGCAGAATTTTCAGAATCATTACTCCAGTCACATGACCTTTCAGAAATCTAATATGCTGATTTGCTGCTAAGAAACATTTCTTATTATTGTCAATGTTGAAAACGGTTGTGCTGCTTAATATTTTCAGGATTCTTTGATGAATAGAAAGGTCCAAAGGACAGCATTTATTTGTAACATTATGAATGTGTTTAATGTCACTTTTGATCAATTCAGCGTGTCTTTATTGAATAAAAGTATTAATTTTTCTTTCAAAAAAAAAAAAAAGAGAGAAAAAAATTGAACTGAGCCCAGACTTTTGAATGTTCATAATTTTAGTCCATAATTTTGAATGTAAAATCTACTAGTTTAAAACATAGTAAAAATAGAGATTAAATAGGCATATCCAAATGTTTGTAATATTGTTACAACCTAGAATTATGTATTTTAAAGTTCTGGGTTGCAAAAATGTTTAAATCCAGCATTTTTTTTCTGTATTAAAATGTATTCTCTATTTTTAATATGAAATCTACTATTGCTCAACATAGTAAAAATAGAGATTAAATAGGTATATCCAAAATAATTTGTAGTGTATTAGTAATCTTATACATGCTTCTCTACAAAACCTGCTCTGCAAGGTCTGTAAAGCTAACCTGTGTTTGTCAAGGAGCGCTTCCATCGAGAGCCTCCGCAGGTGAAAATGACAGCGCGGATGAACTCCCGGCCGCATAATTTGACTCCGTACGAGGGGCCGTCCAGTGCCTGTACTCCAGCCAGCAGCAGACACACTGCAAGCGCTGTGGTTTTCCACATCCTGCTGAGAGCAGATCTTCACTGACAGCAGCGGTTGATGTTCAGAAGCTGATTTCCTGCTGGTTTGGAACCAGGTGCCTGTTTGATGGCGAAGTTCTGTGATTTTTTCCCCAGGCCCCTGTTTCTGCTTATAAAGAGGTGAGGGGAACACATGCTCAAGCAGGAGTCACAGATAACCCTGTAAGATAGTGGCAAAGACCTTTCCAGTAACAAAAGCATGAGCAGGAAAGGTGAATGTGTAATCATAAGGGCATTCTGTGACACGAAACACTCTTTCTTCATTTAAATTGATGAATCATATTTGCCATACGACTCATGTCAGGATATTGCAGCATGAACAACAGTGATTTCTCTTTACATACAGTGATTGAATTAAGATGTCTGTCTGTTTTTTTCTATTAAATTCATTGCAGTTAATCTTTTTATTTGCATTTGTATGCATTTGGCTGATGCTTTTGTCAAAAGCGACCTGCTTTGCATTCAAAATACACATTTTATTAGTGTTTCACATTTCTTGGGAATCGAACCTATGACCATTAGTTGTACTGTTTGAGATAGTGGAATGCTTTATTATTTTCCTTAATTAAATTAATAATTAAAGTTTTATTTACATTTTGTATATAATGCTTTAGTCCAAAGAGACTAACATTGCATTCAAGATACACATTTTATCAGAATTATATTTCTTGGGAATCGAACCCATGACCTTGATGTTGCTAGCACCATGCCCTCCTGTTTGAGCTACATGTTTATTATTTTTATTTTTTATTTAATTTTTTTTAAATTAAAAATTATTAAATTCATAATTAAAGTTAAAGTTAAAATGTGTAGGGGATGTATTTTTATGATACATATTTTAAGGCATGTTTTGTTCAGGTTTTGACCTGTGAGTATAGTGTGTTTATTTTTAGAAATGTATTTTGCCATATATGAAAGTTTTATTTGTTTATGTATTTGTTTATTTATATTTAATCTATAATGATTTTATCCAAAGCAACTTATATTGTCTTCAAGATACACATTTTATCGGCATTATACATTACCTGGGAATCGAACCCATGACCTTGGTGTTGCTATCATGCTCTATTCTTTGAATTACATTGATTTATTATTTTTCTTAATTAAGAATAGTTACATTAATAATTAAAGTTAAAATGTATAGTTGATGTAGTATATAGTATCATGTAACTATGATATATATATAGTTATATTGTTATATTTCTATGTTTGTCCACCAGGCGAAAATTGTAAGGCTAATCACTTATGAAAGCAAGAGCACAGCTCCCCCAAAACTGTGTCCGGAGTTCACCCGAATGCTTGTTTTACCTTCTTTGCACTTCAATGCATCATTTATTTTGACCATTTTTTCCAGACCGAGTGATGACTGTGAGGTGTAGAGGTTAAGAGACAAAGCGATGTAGCGAGCATGGCATTTTCAAAGTGTGATAACATAGTTCATTGCACACGAGCGTTCCTTGCATCCACATGGACAAAGGTCACCAATATCCAAAATGACAACAGAATAATGCATTTTTAACGAATGTGAAGATAACAATGACAACAGCGTGACATTTCGAGAGACATTAACCACAATATTTGACGCATGGAGGATGGAGGCCATGGAAATATATGTATAATTGAATGGTATAATATATATATATATATATATATATATATATATATGAATAGGCTATATATATATTATAAATAGCATATATTATTTGAAATCTTATAAAAAAACACAAAATTAGAGGTCCATCACACTCACTTTTCTCTGGATCTATTAAGTTATTTTAAATATATGCAATTCATACAAAAAATAATTTGAATACATGTTCTATGATGACCCTGATTTCAATTTCGTCATTAAAATTAATTAAATTAATGAATACATTTAAAATGTTTACGTGTAGGCTATTTTTAGGATCAAATACTTGAAGTCATATTTTTCAGGTCAAAGGGAGTAAAAGTGTGGTTCGTTTTCAAAATACATTTTGTAATATGTCAAAATTGCATACATTTATTACATACATTTCGCTTTATTTGGAGGAAGAGCCTTTTGGATTGTGTGCTAAAAGCTCTTATACAACGTGGATTCAGATCAGCTTTCTATCAGTTGTTCTGTAATAGCGAACGACGTAAAACCTACCGACACGACTGATTTCAGATCAGTACACAAAAGCGTGAGGCACGCTTATGATTGACACGCTTCAGACGAACCCGGTGCCGTATGTCGCATTGGCTACCTAGTTCCACCAATAGGAAGACGCGGCGTTATAGTTATTGTATCCGGGCCAATCAGAGCGAAGAAAGGGGGCGGGAACGCAGCGAGTGGGTAGCAACAGTTGCCCGGGTGAGGACGAAGCGCCATAGCCACGGTAGTCGTGGTGACAAGAACCCAGCAACGAGAATCAACAACAACAACAAACCGATTCATTGACAAAAAGCGTATTAAATCCAAAGTACCGCTGGAAAAGTCACTCGGAATAAGAGGTGATTCCGTTTTTTATATTTCATATGAAGTCTCACTGTGTGGAAAACAGAAACAGGTGCGAGGAGGATGATATTTTTAGCGTCTATCGATGTCCAATAATCATTATCGGTGAGCGGGATTGCTAAGCGATCGTGTCCAGCGCTAGACAGACGCGTCTCTCTAAGGATAGACATTATTACCACCAGCCTCAGCCAAAGCTGCTCGTTGTTATGACGATATACTAGATAGGTTGTACAAAATGGCGGGTGTTGTTTGCAATAATACGTCGTGAGTCTCCATACACATTGCTGGATACTAGCCACCCATCCGTAGCGTTGCTATGGAGCTAGGTGTTATAAACGCTGTTGGCATAGTTACACCGACGACCACGCTGACAAACCTGCCGTTATTGCTGGATAAACCAGATGCTCTCCTGTTCTTAACCTTTACTGACCACTCGATGCCTATTGGATATGAAACCATATATAATATAATGTGCCGAAATAGCATTCGTGTCAGTGCATTGTGAATAAGATGCAAAGCAGGACATTTGACTGCGCAGGTCGAAATGTTTGCACGACCACGAGTAGATTCTTCTACTGTGTTACTTTATGTGTTTAGTTTTTGGACATATTAACCAGGTCCAAATGTTTTATTTATTGACATTTATATTGGTTAAAACATGCCTTATGGGTGCATACGCGTATGTTATAGAAGCCAGTACCTGTTAATTTATGTAAATAAAATTTTTTAATTTTATTATTATGCATCTTATTGTATATTAGATCATTGTGTATTTATTATAATTATTATGATATTATAGAAATATTTGCATTCATGCATTCAGGTGGTGGATGAGGCGATCCCCCTCACAATGTAAAGCGCTTTGAGTGCTTAGAAAAGCGCTATATAAATGTAATGAATTATTATTATAGTTATGTAAGGGCGTTTTTTTTGTTTATAGGAACCAAGTGATGCATACCAAAACAAGTGATAAAAATTCATAAGGTAACGTTATAAGAAATCAAAAGAAGCAAGATGTATACAGGCTTGATTTGATTATAGCATAACTGAATCATACATTTGCCAGAGTAACAGTAATGAAGTAAATTAGTACTGACAGATGAAGTTTGACATTGATTTTGATAATGATTTTTTTTTAAATTGGCATTGATATTTGTGACCCTGGTGTATATTTGTAGCAATAGCCAATAATACATTGTATGGGTCAAAATTATCGATTTTTCTTTTATGCCAAAAATCATTAGGATATTAAGTAAAGATCATGTTCTATGAAGATATGTAAATTTCCTACCGTAAATATATCAAAACTTAATTTTTGATTAAATTAATATGCATAGCTTAGAACTTCATTTGGACAAGTTTAAAAGCGTTTTTCTCGATTATATTTAGATTTTTTTTGCACCCTCAGATTTCAGGTTGTATCTCAGCCAAATATCGTCCTATCCTAACAAACATATACCAGTGGAAAGCTTATTTATTCAGATTTCAGATGATGTATAATTTTCAATAAAAAAAAGACCCCTCATGACTGGTTTTGTGGTCCAGGTTCACATTTAAGGTTTTACAAACAATGAGATTAGATTTTCAAATATCTAAGACACTATTTTTAGAGAAATGCACCTTAAAATTATTATTTTTTTGTGCCCAAGTCCCACTTTGTGTTCTTGGCAATGGTGTGTGCCCTCATTCATTTGCAAGCACTGATCAGGTTACTGGTAATAGGACACCAAACGCTCTGCCCTAACCTTCCCTCCTCTTCTTTTTGCTGGCCCAACAATGGTTGTAGTCTTTAGGGCTTTCCTGGAACCATATGGTTGTGCCAAGGTGGTGATTAGTGATAATAATGAAAACTCAACTAACTTTGTTAGTGTTATTACCTACGGAAAGCATCTTCATTATTATTGGTCATACTTAGACCTTAATTTACATCAGTGCATAACTCATCCTACACTATTGACAATGGTGATTCGCTACACCTAGCAAATGATGAAATTAGAGGGGTCATATGATGTTGCTAAAAAGAACATTATTTTGTGTATTTGGTGTAATGAAATGCGTTTATGCGGTTTAAGGTTAAAAAAACATTATCTTCCACATACTGTACATTATTGTTTCTCCTTTAGGTAGGTGTGGCTGACTCTTAACTTTTCTAAAGAATATCTCTTTGGATTTGAGACTTTGGTCTTTGCAACTTTACAGATCTTCTTTATGCACCAAGAGCTTGTAACACTCCAAAGAGAAAGGAAAAATTGAAATCGCATCATATGACCCCTTTAACAAATGATTGCACGGCTCTCTGAAATGCTTGATTCTGACTGGTCATTTGCGTCATTGGAGGTCTAATATTCGAATCCCAGTAATGACTGTAGCAATGCTGAATAACAGACTGCTCATCCGGTTAGCTGAGGCCAGAGCTTCTTCCATGTCTCTCGTATCACACAGCTAACTTGCTCTCTCTTGATTTATAGAAATGCAGCTGGTACCATCTTGAGTCTCACTTATCGACTGTATTGAAACTGAATTCGGAGAACTGTATTATTAATAATATTGTTGTATTGTTTCTTGTTGCCAGGACAATTGTTTTATGCATTTCTAATGGATTACGACAATAAACAGATAAGATTTTAAAACTGTTTCAACTCAAATCAGTGTTTTATTCAACGTAATTATTTATTTGGTGAAAATCTGTGTAATAATTGGTTTGACTGTACGTTGTCACTTAAAATGTTCATCTTGTTTAAACTTGTTTGCTTGTCTTGATAATATACATTCAGCCAGTTGTTATCACAGAATAAACCCCCGAAACGGTGATATGGACCCTGACACGAAAATTATGCCTTACTTATTCATTTACATTAAAGGCACCTATTGCCCTAGCAATACACCAAAATTCACCATTTCCAATCATACAACTGCATTTAAATGTAGTTTTCTATTTTCTTTTGTTTGTTATATTGTATATATTATCATGTGAATCTGTGATTAATTTCTCCTTTTATTGCATTCAGTCCAATGGCAACTCCAGCGTATGTGAGGGAGCTGCAGCAGACCTCCCAGCCTCAGGGAGGCGGTGTGACTCCCACATCAGGCCAGGCTGCCACCGTGACGGCAGCTCCCCAACAATTCCTGGCTGAACTTCAGACTACAGGGGTCACGCCTTCAGCGGCCCCGCCCACCGGCCAGACCACACCCCCTCCCTCACAAACACAGAAGAGCCAGGCAATCGCCCAGGCACCGCCCACACAAGCCCCGCCCACTCAGACTCAATATGTCACAGCTGAGATTCAGAGCTCACCTACGCAGTCCAGCAGTCAGAATACACCACAGTACATCGTTGTCACAGTTACAGGTAAGAGTTAATAAACATTTTACCTCAACCTAAGAATGAATGACATGCTATAGTCTCTGCTCAGAAAAAAAAAAAAAGATGTATCATTCCTGTAGCTCAAACAGTAGAGCATGAAGCTATACCAACTCCAATGTCATGAGTTTGATTCCCAGAAAGATGTGTACCTTGAATGCAATGCAGGTCACGTTGGATAAAACATCTGTCAAATATTAATACACTTCTTTTTCTCCATGTTTCCTTCCTATAGAGGGTTCTCTTCATTCCAGTGACTCTGTGTCAGATTCTAGTCCTCCTGCTGCTGTAGTCCAGACTGGAGTTCCTACACAGGTGGTGCAGCAGGTGCAGACCGCCCAACAGGTAACACTAACCCTAAACCCTAACCCTGTGTGGCCAAATACACAGCAAAGCCACCGGCACCACCACTCACCTAAACAAGCACTACTTGGATTGTACTGCAATAGCATCAAGGGTTAAATCAAGAAATAACTGAACATATACACTACTGCTATATTCAGCACGGATGCACTGAATTGATCAAAAGTGACTGCATAATTCAGCTTTGCTATCACATGAATTACTGTTTAAAATATATTCAAATAGAAAACAGTTCTTTCGAATTGTAATAATGTTTCACGATATAACCTTGGCGAACAAAAGACACGTCTTTCAAAAACATTTTAAAAACCTTCCAAATCTAAACTTTTGAACAGTAGTGTAGATAGATGGACAGACTGACAAATCTATAGAAACCCTTTGGAATTATATGGCTTCAAATTCAAGCTCATGATAACAAAATATGTCAATGAAGTCCTTTTTTTTCATATCTGTACACAAATAAAGAAAGCGATCAAGGTCATGTATTTAAGTTTGTGAATGTTTAAAAAGTACTTAGTTAAAATGACTTAAAGTGTTCAAATGAATGCATTATAATTCAGGTATTTTCGACCTATCTTGTAATATATAAATACAAAACTTTCATACTAAGTGCTTTTTTTTTTACTTCAATATGGACTAATTAAATGAGATTTCATCAGATCAGAAGAAGTGTTGTTGAAGCTTAGAAAACTGTGAGAGGGTTTTTAAACACCTGGGCCTCAGTCAGTCCACAGATGGAGGAAATTCAGCACTGCTTGTTATTTGAGTCTGAGTTTTGTAGAACAGCAGTTCTTAGAAAAAGGCTTGCCCTGCAGTCCTCAAACGCACGAGACATGATGATTGAGGGATTTTGCTGTTGTCTACCATCATGAATACCCTGCACAGCACTAGTGGGAGGTAACCACAGAGGAAACCGCTGCTCTCAAAAAACAAAAATATGTTAAAGACAAATTGGTAGTTTAACAGTTCTGCTGGAATGTCCAAAAGATTCTGGTAGATATACACAGATGCAAATGCATTACTGTAATAATTGCTTTTATAAACTGTAAGTCATACACTACTGTTTAAAAGTTTGGGGTTAGTAGGTTTTTTTTTTTAAAGGAAATTAATTTATTCAGTATGGATGCATTAAATTGATTAAAAGTGACCGTAAAGGCCATTTATAATATTATAAAAGATTTCTATTTCAAATAAATGCTGTTCTTTTGAACTTTCTATTCATCAAAGAATCTTGAGGAAATCATATTACATTTTCCACAAAAATGGAACTGAAAATTAAGTTTTGCCATCACAAGAATAAATTACATTTTAATATATATTAAATATATATATATTTTTAAAAATTGTAATAATATTTCAAAATATGACAGTTTTTACTGTATTTTTGGTCAAATAAATGCGGTCTTGGTGAGCATTAGAGACTTAAAAACATAAAGTCTTATCGACTTAATGGTAGTATACCTAAAACATACTTAAAGGTTAATTTAGTCTTATTGTGTTTGTGTTTTGGCTAGGAAGTTTACATTCACCAATAGCATTATAGAAATACACTATTCACAGAAGGTTCTGAAAACAGGAGGGTTACTGAGGTAAAGCGAGTGGTATTCAGGTTAACATGTGATCATCTCTGCCCCAAATAAATTTTAATAGGCCACTGATATGACTGGAGTCTTTATCTTATTTTAAACACAAATGCTATTCATTTCTTCAGGGGTAAAGCTTTTTAATGAGAAAAAAAAAACTAAATTGAGTGTCTGAGAAGCTTCTTTCTGTAACTTCCTTTATTCTGTGAAAGTACATACACACATACAAAGCATTAGAGGTGTAAACCATGGCCCAGTTTAGAAAAATTAGTTTGTGGTTTGCCATTCTCACAGTAGCTTTTTCAGCAAGCTAATGTTTTTCATTTTTCCCTGTAATCTATTAACAGAGGTCAGTAGTGCAAGCCACATCTCAGACAACGAAAACAGAGCCGGGCACCCAGCTGAATGTCACCAGCCTACAATCGGTGCACCTGACACAGGAGGTGAGCTCTCTCACTCATATAAATGTGTGTTATTATGCCAGTAAAGACTGGCTTTGCAGTCAAATTGATGCCTATGATGTCCAAGTTCTCTCTCTTTAAAATGCATTTTATGTGACTCACATTTCATTTTCGAATGTTCACAATCAAGTCATCTTGAATGTATTGCATTAAAGGAATAGTCCATCTCGAAAAAGTGGCTTAAGTATTCCTTTAATGCAAAATTCACTAAGCTTACAGTCGTCTAACCCTCTGACGGTTGCTTTCAGAACTCTTTTCTCACACAGAGAGGAAGTGATGCACAGAGAGAGAGTGAAGTGAAGAGACAGAGACAGATAGAAAACTGGTTGGAGAGTAGGCCAGCAGTAGTACTACTAGAGAAAAGCACTAACCCGTTTGGAGACAGTTTATCCTATGCATCTGTCAATGGAGGTTTGCTGGATTGCTCATCCTGTTTCCCCTCATCTCTACCTGTCGCCTATTCACCCGTCACCTTCTCAGTACCCGTCATGTCAGTGGGCTGGGAGACAGACAGGGTCTCCTACACCTCTGCTCCCATGCCAGATGTGCAGTCTTACCTCTATGAGATGCCCTCAGCCCATAGCGTAGGTGACTTTAGTTAAAACACAGTGTTGTAGGTATAGCTGTGGTCAGTCATTGAGAGTGAGTTGATTGTGTTAGATCATTTAGTGCAGTGATTTCCAACCAAGGGTCTATGGGAAGCCTAAATTAAAAATATATAATACACACAATATTGTTCAAAAGTTTGGGGTTGGTAAGATTTTTTAATGTTTTTGAAAGAAGTCTCTTTATGCTAATCAAGGCTGCATTTATTTGGTTAAAAATACAGTAAAAACAGCAATGTGAAATATTATTACAATTTAAAATAACTGTAATATAAAATATAAATTATTTTTGTGATGCAAAGCTGAATTTTCAGCAGCCATTACTCCAGGCTTTATTGTCACATGATCCTTTAGAAATCATTCTAATATGCTAAATTTGCATTTCTTATTATCGTCAATGTTGAAAACAGTTGTTGTTTATGTGGAAACAGTGATACTTTTTTTTCAGGATTCTTTGATACATTTTTTTTGCTTTTTCTTTTCATTGAAAGCTCAAAAGAACAGCACTTAGTTAAACATTATAAATGTCTTTGCTGTCACTTTGATCAATTTAATGTGCCCTTGCAGAATAAAAGTATTATTTAATAAAAAGAAAAAAAAAATAGAAATTGTACTGACCCCAAACTTTAGTATGGTAGTATAGATATACATAATATATAAATATATTAAAATAAATATTTTTTTATTTTAACATGTTTTAAAAAAAAAAGATTAACTGAAAAAAGATTTAAAAAGATTAAACATTTGTTTATATTAAATTTTTTTTTATTAATTTTATATTATCAGCAATATATTTTATATTAAAAAGCTAAATAACTTTAATAAAAGCTAAGTAAAATAATCCTAATAAACTCTATTTTAATCCAATTTATCAAACCATTTTTAGAGAAATCGACTCTGTGAGTCTATTTTTCACCCACAGTATTGATTGTTTTTAGTTAAAAAGTGAATTTTTGATAGTTTTCATTATATTAATAATGAATAATGAAAAATGCTATCCAGTGTAATATGAGTTAAATGAACATATTTCTGGGATTGCTGTTGAGGATGAGTACTTGAACCTTACTGCTGAGGTTGTTTTTTTGGAGTGTGCAACTGTGCATAAGACTAGAAGGTTGGGAAACACTAAATTAGTGCATTGAATGTGGCTGCAGGCATGTTTTTATTGCAGAATTAAGTTTATTGCAGAAGTGTGATTGTGTCAATTTTGCCTTCTTAATTTGTGTATTGGTGTATGTGTGCCTCAGGTACAGCAGCAGCTCCAACAGGTGCCAGTCCAGCATGTGTATACTAACCAGGTGCAGTATGTGGAAGGAGGAGATGCTACCTACACCACCAGCACCATGTGAGTATTTACAGGAACCAACACTCAGCCCCAGCCCTGTGCACATGTGCAGGATCAGCTACAGGACTTCCTGAATTAACCGCTAGCTCTTTGTTATAGCCACTGTTAACCATGGGTTAGACAAAACTTCACACTTGTATTTTCAGAAAGGAATAGCACTGCTTGTAGAATATGAATATCAATTGTGGTGTCAAAAGATACACAGCATGAAACAAAGGTGTGCTTGTTTAAAAACAGACAGCCAACTAGTGCTGTCAAACAATTAATCACGATTAATCGCATCCAAAATAAAAGTTTGGTTTACATGATATATGTGCATGTACTGTGTATATTTATTATGTATATATAAATGCACACAGATGCATGTATATATTTAAGAAAAATAAGTTATGTTTATATATTAAATATTTATATATAATATAAATTATATGAATATAAATGTATACATGTAAATATTTTCAAAATATATACTGTATATGTGTGTATACATAATAAATATACACAGTACACTTGCATATATTATGTAAACAAAAAACGTTTGTTTTGGATGCGATTAATTGCGATTAGCACTACAGCTAACCATAAACTGTCATTAAATTAAAGCAATAAGCCCCAAGAATGCTCCGCGTCGTGCCTAACAACACCCCTTAGCTGTTATAAATTCACTCTAAACCACGGCTTCACGGGGCTTATTGCTTTTATAAAACGGTTATTCCATATACTCAAATATTTATTGAGCAGCAAATCAGTATATTAGAATGATTTCTGAAGGATCATGTGACACTGAAGACTGGAGTAATGATGCTGAAAATTCAGCTTTGCATCACAGGAATACATTACACCTTAGGGCCAGTTTTACTAAACAGGGCAAATTAGCGCGAGAGCGCAATTCCAAAACAGCGCCGATGGGAGGGGAATTTTCTGCGGGTGATTTACTAGCAACACGCAAATTAAAGAACACAGAAGCAACATCTCATTTACATATCGACCAACGCAATATACCAAGCGCAATGCAAATTAGCATAGTCGCAAATAAAGAATAAAGAAATAAAGAAGCCACAGTACATTGAAAAGAACCGCAGGCCAAAAAAATGAAGGGTTGCAGTTTGTTTTGATAGACCTGGTATTGCGTGACTCCTAGTTGGGGGTTCCAAGTCATCTTTCATTTCCTGAAGCAAATTAAAAATAACATGGCTTGGCAAACGATATGTTTGGACAATGTGTTCTTCTTGCTTTCTAAATAAATTAATACGTGTGGAAAAAATCCTCTCCCTTCTACCACGCGCTCTCTGTTCTTTGCTATGCCTCTCATAGCAACAATAATTGCAGCCATTTCAAGCGCAAAATAGTTTAAGACATACTTTTTTGGGCGTTAAATAATGGCGCAAATACCAGTCATTTGACGAGTGTGAACGTTAGTGAAACGCATTGCATGATTTATTTGAACACTCTCCTCCCATAAATGTTGCGTCTGAAAGGGAAACTACTAGAAATGCATATTCAATAAGGTCAGGCGCAAAAATAACTGTCTACGCCTTTTCAGCGCTAATTCTTCACTGCGCGTCTTTAGTAAAACCTGACAGTACTATTTTAACGCCAAAAGACGGTGTGCGCTGGCGCAAGCTGTTAGTAAAACTGGCCCTAAATATATATTGAACAGTTATTATAAATTATAATAATGTTTTATAATATTACTGTTTTACTGTATTTTTGATCAAATACATGAAAGCGTGAGAGACTTCTTTCAAAAACATTAACAAATCTTACCGAACCCATACCTTTGAACATGTTTTTTGTCTCTGTAATATATTTCAGAAAACCAGACAATATAAAATATTAAATTATTTATTATTAATGCAAAAAATATTTAGATATGAAATATTAAAATAGTACTTATTAAAAAGGTTCTTGTGCTTAAATATGTTAATAATAGTTTTACCACAGGATTTGAAAAGTTTTAAATCTCAAAACTACTAATTACTAACCCAAGGTTACATATCAAAAGATTTAAATATGGAACAAGACTGTTTGGAATTTTATTTGCAAAGTCTGAAAAGCCCAAGGTAGTAAAAGTTGTTCAAACTGAATACTATTCTGAATCCTAACCCTCTTCATTTTCTCCCAGTCGTTCCAGCAGTTTCCCGTACACAGAGACCCCTCTGTACACCCAGACCACTGCTGGACAGTACTATGAGACCACCCCTGCCTCTGGTTCTGAGGCCACGTCCCCCGGCACCCCTCTCACTGTCTCCGTGACCACAGGATCCCCCGGGGTATCCATGTTTGTGGCGGGGACGGGGCAGATCGTGGCCAATCCCACGACGGCGGCAGGGGGCGGAGTCACAGCTGTAGTGGCAGCCACTGGGACGGCGTCGAACGGTTCTGGAGATTCCGGAGGCGAGGCTAACGGTAGCAGCGGGAGCTATGTGATTCCGGGAGGCTACATGCTGGCTGGCAGCGGGACCGGCAGCAGCGGAAACGGTCACGGTTATCCGCACCCCACTCGTGCCTCTCCAGCCACTGTGAGTATAAACGAAGGCGAGGACAATAGCGTGCCGTCGGCAGACAAAAAGGTATGACGACAGCAGGGGCGGGGCTTAATCGTCACTCATCGCCACTCACAGATTCCCCCCTCTTCCCGCCACCCAAATGAACTTAAACGCATGGTGATCTCATTGCTCCGTTCCACATGCCAGAGAGCACAGTGATACTTCCAAGTCCAAATTGATTTCATTTTAAGTTTTATTCTATGAAGAAAAAGTCATCAGTCATTTCAATGATGACACATGTCCAGTTGACATGTAGCTTGTCAGTGGTGCTTGCTTTCACTGTGCTGTTGTATTCATTGCTGCAAACATTAAAATTCAGTCATAACCATATTCATAATATCCATGAGAGACAGATGGCCTTGTGTTCAACATGTTCCTATATGCAGCAGCTTTCCAGTTTTGCTGCACATTCTGTTACAAAATTCTTTTAGTTAAGAATTGAGACATTTTATTGATTTATCGTTTCATTGCATACTAGACTTGTATGCCACGGCACGCAGAAACAGTTGTCGAGAGGCATACAGAGCTGTGCAAAAGTGTTTGCCCCCGTCTGGTTTTCTGTATTTTTGCATGTTTAGACACTGAATGTCATCAGATTTACAACCAAAACATGGGGATGCATACCATTCAAGAGTCTGTAAAATTTGTGTTTGTTATGCTATGTTTCTTTAAATACTAGAAATTAATTAGTTATTAAATTAATAGAAATGAATACTTTTATTCAGCAAGGATGCATTAAATTAATCAAAAGTAACTGTAAAAACATTTATAGTGTTACAATTTAAGATTTCCGTTTCAAATAAAACTATTTTCTATTCATCTAAAAATTTAAAAATATATTCAAATAGAAAATATTTATTTTAAATTGTAATATTACAATAATACTGTTTTTACTGTATTGACAGTCAAATACATGTAGCCTTACCGAGCATAAGAGACTTCTTTCAAAAACATGAAAAAATCTGGCCCCAAAACTATTGACTGTTGGTATGTTATTTTTCTGCAAAAAAATGTCTACCGAACAGTTCTGCTTTTGATTCATCTGTCGGCGCACTACTTCACACTTGAATTATTGTACAACTGAAACCTTGAACTCCAAAGAAATGAAAGACCAGAAACTTTGTTTCTCTTTTACCACCAGACTATATGCTAACACAATCATTCATACAATAACAATAACAAAACTAATATAAAATGTGCACAAACTCAGAAATTCAGACAAAAGACCTATTCACAGCAGTGTATGCTTTCATGAAGCTGTCAGAATAACAATATTCATATGTAAAGACATTGCAAAATAATACCATTTGTTGCACATTCGAGGAAATTGTATTCATTTAAAGTCAACATGAATTTAAAACCCACTGCAAACTCACATTTCAGGTCTGAAACATCTGCTTCTTATCATCCAATCAACTCGTGACAATAAAATCAAGCCCTGTTCAACATTGTTTTCCACTTGAATATTTTTTACTTCAAAATGAACTAAAATGGGGTTAGTGAATGTAGTTTACGGTTGACTTTAAATGAATTACATTATGCATGAGTGTGTAATTACAGTCTGCATGCAAAAGCATATGCACGGGTTTGCATTTGGTTGTTTGTGTGTTGTGTGTCTTAGAACATCTTTTAGACTGGGCTCTCTGTCTGAGTGTGTGTGTGTGGCTGTGTGTGTGTCTTATCCCGGCAGCTGTCCTCTGGCCCTCAGGTGCAGTGGTTGTTGGATAATTATGAGACAGTGGAAGGGGTGAGTTTGCCCCGGTCTACTCTCTACTGCCACTACCTGCTGCACTGTCAGGAGCAAAAGCTGGAACCCGTCAACGCGGCGTCCTTCGGGAAACTCATCCGCTCGGTGTTCATGGGGTTGAGGACCAGACGCCTGGGCACACGGTGAGAGGAATCAGGTCACATGACATGTACTTTTATTTTAGTGAGTCAATTCATTCAGAGAATTTGAATGAATTTATTCACTAAATTGCCCCCCCCCCCCCCAAAAAAAAACATCCTAAAATGAAATGTATTTAAGCTCTATTTTTACCTACGTTAAGTAGTTTCATTTATTATATGTTCAAATCAGATCAACTGAATCAATTAAAAATGTTGGTTCATAAGAACGGTTCACTCACAAAAGTCACACTAAATTAATATGGCATACGTCACCTTTCAAAAGTTTGGGTTCAGTAAGACTTTAAAAAAAATTAATTTATACTTTTATTCTGAAAGGAACTGATCAAAGATGACAACACAGTTATAACACATTTCTATTTTAAATAAACGCTTTTTAAAAATAACTTTATATTCCAAAGAATCCTACAAAAAGTATCATGGTTTCCACAAAAATATTAAACAGAAATAATGCCTTCCAAAATAATACTATTGGTTTTTGAGCAGCATATTAGAATGATTTCTGACGGATCATGTGATACTGACTGAAGACTGGAGTAATGATATTGAAAACACACACACACACACACACACATATATATATATATATATATATATAGTGCTTCATTAAATTATATTGTATTTAAATAAATTTTATTATATTATTGTTTTTCAAGTGTAGTTTTGATCAAATAAATGCAGCCTTGGTTAGCATAAAAAAATGTAAAAATCTACTGACTCCAAACTTTTGAATGGCGATGTGTTTGAGAGTCGCGCATATGTGGTTAGAAGCCTCCATGATCCTCTGGTTCAGGTCACGCAGGTGCACTGAAGCTTTGGTGTGTTTGTTCCAGAGGGAATTCCAAATATCACTACTATGGACTGCGGATCAAAGCGAACTCATCTCTGCTCCGTCTGATGGAGGACCAGCAACACCTGGCCATGAGGCAGCAGCCCTTCTCCCAGAAACAGAGGTGGACACACGTGCTCTCTTTCATACCTTGCTATCGGTCTCTCTGGTTCCTGTGTTTCTCAGTCTGGTTCTGTCTCCCTGAAGGCTGAAGCCGGTACAGAAGGTGGAGGGAATCACTAACGGAATGTCGTCAGGATCCGGACAGCAGCAGCAGCAGAGCTCGGGTCTGTCGGACATCAGCACCCAGGTCCAGCAGTACCAGCAGTTTCTAGGTGAGTCTTGACATCAGTGTGAAGTGTGAACCTTTAATGTCAGAAGCGTAACCTGAAATGCATGCAAAAGTGGTGCTAATCCCGCTTCTAAGTTACAAATGTGAAACGTCCCTTTACCCGGGGGTTTAAAGCGGAGGTTCGAATGACCCATAACCCAGGGTTAAACGTGTGAAAAGCCCTCACATGGATTTTTACAACAAATCATTATATTGTTATCATTGCTGTTTAGATGCGTCCCGAGCTCTCCCGGAATTCCCTGATGTTGACCTGCAGGGTAGAGCTTTACCAGAGGGCATTGAGCTGGAACATCTTAAAAGCTTTCAGTTGCTCTACAGAGAACACTGCGAAGTGAGTCTTCTCTCTTCTTCTCTGTTTGAAACCAGAGATTGACTGTCGACATCACTATGAATATCTGTGTAGAAGCTAAATATCTTTTCGAATTGATTTTTAGTGATGTTGTGTTTTTCTTAAGGCCATTCTGGATGTGATGGTCAACCTTCAGTTCCCTTTGGTAGAGACTCTTTGGAAAACGTTTTGGAGGTTCAGTGAAAGTCAGGCAAGAGACTCAGCAACACTAGCTGTGTAAGTTTGCTTCTCAGCACAACAAAATCCAACACTACATGTCAAGGTTTTCACAGTTTTGCCTGCTTTCAGGAGGATTTTTATCAAGATGGTTCTCGGGTGGTTCTTCTGAGCAAGGGTGGTATAGAGAAATATTAAATAATTGTCAGAAAATATAAAAAATATTTTTTTAATGTAACAGTTTATTGAACATTTAGACAAAATATGAAAATTTAAGAAATCAAAAAAAAAAAAAAGTGTTTTTTGTTGAATATCACAATTAGGGCCCTATGAAATCCGTTTTATTATTTCCCCAAATTCCATTTTATTTTCAAATTCAATTGTTTCCATTTTAAATGTTCTGGATTCTGTTTGTTTTCCATTTAAGGTTTTCCAGACTCCGTTTTAATGGTTAAATACAATTTTATTCATCAAAAAGCATGTCTAATTAATTGAAATCATGAAACGTACAATATTAAAGAGAAATGTATTAAAAGTTTAGCAAAAAATAAATTTTTAATGCCCTAAGTATGTTTTATTTTTTTCTTCAGTTCAGTTTTATTTTTTACAAAATTCTGTTTTCAATATATTTTTATGGATTGTATTTTAATGGTTTCATTAAATATTCATAATCTAAAGCATCTCTAATTAATTGATTTTATTTAAAAAAAAATTATTATTATTATTATTGTATTTATTTATTTATTTTTGCCGAAATACTGTGTTGTGTATTTAAATGTTTCTGCTAAATAAATTTAGACTAAAAATGTTCTGGTAAATATTCCTTTAAAAATAATGTTTTAATAATAATTTATTATCAGTAGTAGTACTATGATTACATTAAGTAATAGTTCCATCATGGTTTTTTTTCACGTTAAACTGAACTTTTATTTTGACGGGTTGCTGAAGACCTTTAGGTTTGTGTTTGTACATGATATGACGATAGTTTTTCTTAAAATAAATGGTAAAATGCTCATGAAGTGAGATTGTAGAAATGATGTTCATGTGTTCATGTACTCATATATTGAGGCGGCAGAGGCTGAAAACACAGCGAGCGTTACGTGTGCTTCAGTATGTGTGTTGTTAACGAAACCGCGCGTCTGCGCCATTCATTCACACAGAGACACGCAAAACATTAAGGATTCATATTTAAATGTATTTTTTGCGGCTTAATATTCACAGACACTAATCCATATCTTGTTTTGATATAACAGTGCTGACCTACTTTTGATATATCCTTCCAAAATTTGCCAAATTCCGTGACATTCTGCGTTATAAAGTAAATTACGTTTTATGACTGGATTCCGCGATTCTGTCCGTGTTGTCCACATCGCGGAAATCATAGGGCCCTACACAATTGACATTAGATGAACTTCTGATAGACTGTAATGTTTAATAATTGAGACCTTTATAACAGTATAGCAGACTACTTACACAAAATGCATATAAATATCAGTTGTCACTCTAAATCTTCCAATAAGATGATATTTAAACGCCTAGTGTCATGATCAAAGCTCTGTTGTTTTTAGTTTAACAACTACTGTGAAATATAATTAGAATTCAAAATATAGTTTAAAGTGTCATTTATTCAAGAAACATGTCTTGTTAAAAACAGCTATGCTGCTTAATATTTTTGCGGTGACTGATACTTTTTTTTTTCAAGATTTTTTGATGAATAGAAATTTAAAAAGAACAGCGTCTTTACTGTCCCTTTTGATCAGCTGAATGCATCCTTGCTGAGTAAAAGTATTAATTTCTTTCAAAAGAAAAATCTTACTGAGCCCTAAACCTTCAAACAGTGGTGTAGGTATAAAATAAAACAATTAACTTAACATATAATGCAATGCAGCATTCCTCAAAAGCCTGTTGGATTATATTTGGTACTCACATTGTAACACCATTTTTCTAGAAAATGGTGTGTGGATAATCACTAAGTCGCTTCAGTCCAGTAAGTGTTCATCTTGCAATATTACTAACAATATGTAAGTTATTCTTATGTTTACTTTATAAAAAAAGATTTCACAGTAAAAAGACATGTGGTGGATGTTTTTAGAATGAGAATAATAAAGTATAAACTATCAGTCAGACAACAGCTTGTAGCTGGTTTTTCATTAGTTGTACACAATCATGTTCAAAATTTAGAGACCTTATAAATTTGCATATCAGATATGATACCGTAGGCTTTATAGGGTTAATGAATAATAAGACAAACTTTATCGTTTTTTTTTTTTGGCTATCTTAGGCATGACGAGTCTGAGAAGAGGCTGCCCAAGTCATGTTTGGTGCTGCTCTGTAAATATGATCCAGTGCTTCGCTGGAGTCGTGACTGCGACAACACACTGTACCAGGGCCTGGTGGAGATGCTCATCCCAGACGTTCTGAGACCTATTCCCAGTGAGTTCTCTCAATACAGATTTACTTATTACTATGCAGCAGTATGTGCCAGAGCTGGTGGTGATCCATCAGGTGAGTCACATTTTGCCTGGAGTGGCCTATTTTTACTCACATTGACATTCGCCAATTTGGATGTGGATCGACATTCAGGCTGCCAGGGCACCAATTACAGGCGAATCGTCCACTGCCACACAACATCATATATTTTTCTGAAGTATCTTAATTCTTTCGCCAGGTGCCTTAACACAAGCCATCCGAAACTTTGCGAAAAGTCTTGAGAGCTGGCTGACTAATGCCATGATGAACATTCCTGAAGAGATGGTTCGTGTGAAGGTCAGTGATCGCGACAAAGTATTCATATTTAGTAACGAATAGCTCACCCAAAAATGAAAGTTGGCTGAAAATGTACTCACCCACTGAACATTCAAGATGTAGATGAGTTCGTTTCTTCATCAGAACAGATTTGGAGAAATGGATCATTTCATCACTTGCTCATCAGTGGATCCTCTGCAGTGAATGGGTGCCGTCAGAATGAGAGTTCAAACAGTTGCTAAAAACATCACAATAATCCACAACACAACGGTTTCCGCAAAAATATTAAGCTGCGCAGCTGTTTATTGAACAATAAATCAGTGTATTAGAAGAAGGATCATGTGACACTAAAGACTGGAGTAATGACTGCTGAAAATTCAGCTTTGCCATCGCAGGGATAAATTACATTTGAAAAATAACAAAATTATTTAAAAAAAAAAGGAAAATAAATCTTACTACCCTAAACTTTTGAACGGTAGTGTACGCCTTATTTGCTTTCATTACATTTGACTTTTTTACAATATAGTTGCATCATATCAGCCTCCTTTCACTCTGGTATTTCCTACATTAGTCAACCACTACAGTCAATACCACAAAACTCCTGTTTTATGAATGACTAATGATAGTTAGTGCTGACAGGAAGATAAAATAGTGTGCTTGTGACACAGGGTTTAAAAGTGTTTGAAGACTTAAAACCTTTCCCTAATGAATTTTGTTTGAGGAAAATGCAAAGGTCACATCATCTGCATTAAGACATTTCCTTTTTACTCTTTTAAATAGTCTTTAATAGCAAAACAAAATCCCTAAATACTACAATACATTAAACATTAGATAATTACATTTTAGAATATTAAAGGGGTCATGACATGGATTTTTTAACATTTTATTTTAACATGTTCCTTGAGGTTTACTTATAATGATAATATAGTTTTTTGCACAAAAAAACAAATAAATCTGTGGGAAAATTATTATTTTCAACCCTCATTCTAACCCTCTGTCTAAAAACGACCTGTTTTAAGGCTTCTCAGTAATCGGCCACTGTTATAATTGGCTAGCGTCATTGCATAGGAAACAGTATAAACCATAGATATATATACGTAGATGCCTCATTAGCGACTGTTTCTGTGGGCCGCTATACGTATGCCGTCTGCCATATTGTAACGGTCAACTTGACGTCATTCACCATAGTAATCACTGAATATTCGAAAGATGCCACAATCCTGCACAGAACGGCTCAATGGCTCTGTGAGAACCTACAGTATGGTGAATGACGTCAAGTTGATCGTTCCAAGATGGCAGCCGCATCTACGTGCCTGGAGCAAGTGGCAACCTCCCGCTCTCACTCGTGAAGCCAAAACGGAAGTGACTTAAACTGTAATTCGTCAACTGGCCGCTAGAGGCTGGCTGCAAAAGGGAGTCAATCCCATAGACTCCCCATGTTAAAATGCCCAACTTTACAGCAGAAAAAAACATGTTTACAGCCTGGTTCAAAAAATGATTTTGGTCTATATAGCTAATTTTGCCCTTCATGACAACTGTGAGGGGGGTGAATTTTTTTATAACTCATCCGTTTAATTGGTCTTTGTTTAGGTGACGTCTGCAAGTGCGTTTGCTCAGACCCTGCGCAGATACACCTCTCTAAACCACCTGGCCCAAGCAGCTCGTGCCGTACTACAAAACACGGCACAGATCAACCAGATGCTCAGCGACCTCAACAGAGTGGATTTTGCCAATGTGCAGGTGTGTGTGACTGGCAGGGACGGATCTAGAAAATAATTTTTGGGGTCTTTTGGGGGCATGGGGTCTATAAGGGGTGGCAACACCAAAGCAAGCCCCCATGCATAGTTTTTGGGGATTTATGGTCTGACATACACAGTTGTGTTCACAAATATTGTATTACCATTAAGTAATCATCTATACTGTTTAAAATGTAAAATAAATAACAACATTTCAATATCCATCATGGCACCAAGTCAATTCACAATATAAAAAACTTCAACAGGTTATAAATGTTTCTGAGCTTGTATGACTAAAGAAGACATGCGGTTCTATTAAAATAACATAGGCTACTTAGATGGTATAATCACGTTTAGTGCAAGTTTAAGAGCAACAAAAACTTTTGAATTTCTTAACATTAGAAAGAAATACAATAATATCAAAGCACTGAAACTGTTTGATTTTCTGTTATTAACAGAGGTGGGAATGTCTGTAATCACCCAGAACAAACTCTATCAACCATATACTCTAGCAACACCCCAGCAACTGCATAGCAAGAGCCTAGCAACCACCCAGAATATCCTAGCAACCAACTAGCAACACTTTAGCAAACATCTAGAACAGCTAACAGACCAAACCATTTACGTTTTTAAACAAGACTTTAATACAAGCCAGCATAAATTTGTCTTTCAAACTTTTCAATCTAGTTTTTACAGTTTGTCTTACAGTTTTTTGCAACTGCTTACACACATATTCAAAACTTTGCCTCTTTTTTCAAAACTTCAAAAATCCAAGAATTGCACACACAAAATGCAAAATGCCTCGCATCTCTTGCAAAATGAAGCACTGCATTCAAAATATCACAAACACATCTCAAAAGCAAACATTTGCAAACACCTTTGCCATAATATTAATTCCTGTTAGATTTTTGTGTGTTAAATAGAGAATTGTGTGTTGTGTTTTGCAAACAGTGTTTTATGAAATTGAAAACTGAGTCAAAGGCCGAGAATTAGCGTATGGTTTTGCAGATTTGGTGTGTGGTTCTGGTATTTGTGTCAGGTTTCAGAAACTGTGTGACAAGTAAAGATTTTGTGTGTAAGCAGTTGAAAAAAACTGTAAATGCTTACACAATTCAAATACACCGATGACTTTCCTGCTCAGTGAACACTGAGATCAATAACACTGTAACAAAAAAACTCTCACTAGGATTCAGGAATTATTTTTGTAGCTCAATGTCTATCACAGTATACATAAATTACTGTAAAGTAATCTTGTAGTAAATGAAAAGCACTAGAAAAGTTCAAATACCAAAGAATTGTATGAACTCGGTATGCACCACAATACAGTACAGTAAAAAATAAAATTAAAAAAAGTAAATTTAGTATCCTCTGCACATTTCGCCAAATTTCATACAGCACTATAGCAGTTTCTTGGTCTCCTGACACAAGACTAGCTATATCTCTAGGCAGTCATTTCTCAGTTCTGCAAAAATGCAGTACATCTAAAAAATGGTTACAAATAAAATTTGGCAGTCACATGCTGTGGTGTACAACATGTGCTACAGTTTACTGTACATATAGAATAGTGAAATATCCATTGTCTAATGTCTATCTCAGACATATCCGGACGGGATTAGATTTCTCAGAGGACTTCTGAGTTAGCTGAGAAGCAGTAATTATCTGATTCACGAACAAATATAAAAACAATTCGTTAGTAGTGAACAGGGTTCACAAAACCACAGGCTTTGTGGTTTTGACTCCGGTTCATAAGAGTCATTTGTTAATGAAGCCGACTACACTGGCACGCTGCGTGCGCGTGCAACCAGTGTGCACAGTTTATTGAAAGACGTGTTTTTTGCCATTATTTTGCGTATTCTGTCATCACCGCGGCTGAAAAGTAGCACATGAAACACTACTTACATTTATATTTTATTCTGTGATAATTCTGGGGTGGCACAGCTTTTTCTTAGGGTGACAGTTACAGCCCCGTGCCACCCCGGTAGATCCGCCCCTGGTGACTGGACAAATCCCTCACGTTCCCAGGCAGATTTGAGGCTGAACACTGTATTTACAAGGGCTGAACTAGAGCTTTCATCTGTCACCATCTGAGATGAACTCACTTTTTGGCATGCAAGTGGGTGTTTGTGGTCTGTCTAGCTGTCAGGGAAACGGAAACATGAGTGTTTAGCATAACATGCGATTTGTTTCCTTAAAAGTCATTTAAAAAGGGTTTACGCTGTCAGTAGTCATTTATTCAATGATTTTATCGTCCCAGAAATGAAAATTCTTTAATCGTTTACTCACCCTCATGTTGTTCAGACATGTATGATTTTTTTCTGCACAACATAAGAGAAGATATTTTGAAGAATATTGGTAACCAAATATTTTTCTGTTCCCATTGATTTCCATTGTATGGTCAAAAAATACAATGAAAGTCAATGGGAACTGAAACTGTTTGGGTACCAATGTTCTTCAAAATATATTTTTTCATGTTCCATAGAAAAAAGTAAGTCATACAGGTTTGGAACAGCATGGGGGTGAATAATGATAAAACGATTTAGTATTTTTAGCTCGAAAATTCCTTTGTATAAGTTACCAATCCTGGGTAAGGTGTCTTTGTTTTTAGATCAACCCTTGTGGGATTCAAAACATTTTTGGTTACAATTTGGTCATAGCTTTAACCGCTACACCATACCAAAAAGGGAAATACTAGCCTAGGGCTGGGCGATATAGCTAAAAAATGTATCAACGATATAATGTTTCATATCGTTCGGTATCGATAATTATTGACATTTTTTTTATAACCTTTTTTAAAACAAAGATCAATAGAAAAAAATGTTTAAATTTAACCACTGTATTTTTAAATTAACCCAATTTATTGAGACAGACAACAATTTTTTTTTGTTTTAACAGTCAAACACACAATAGAAATTAAACAAATATCTAATTTCTAATGTTTTATATGCAGATTAAATAGGTTTTAAGGAAACTTTTGTCTTGTCTCCCGAGGCCACAGGAGGTGCGCAATGAGCAAAATAATGCCGCACATAATGTCAAGGCATGGAAATAACTGTCTATAAAAAAACATGCATTATGTCTAAATTAACTCATATAAATCGAATATAATTGAAATACAAAAACCTGTGCTAATTGAAAGAAAACAAGTTGACAAAAAGATTGAATCCAAGATTTGGTAATATGCAGCACAAGCAATTTGCAAAAGGCTGTTGATTTTTGACTGGGAAGACATAATTAGGTAAAGGACTCTCAGCTCAGCACACAGGTTAATGGATATTTCGTTCAGTTTGTGTTTGTGAATCCCCATGCGCTTTCACTTGTAGGAACAGTATAATTTATTTATTTATTTATTTATTTATTGCTGAATAGCATATACTATACCTTTACCTAATTTCCTCTGACTCTGTTGGCCATATTGAAAAAGTTCCTGAAAATGTTGTCAGTTCATTCTAGGATTTGTTGCTGGTACTGATACATGCAGTGCCCTCTTAGGTTTATCTATCAATGAATCCTCTAAGGCAGTGTCTTCACGTTGCGTGCTAGGTTTTACAAGAGAGTTGTAATGACAAGCAGCTAAACTCTTCCTGCTGAAATGGAGTTTTTACAGGTGAGCCTCGAAAGGGTGTACCAACATTAGGTTTGTGGACATCATTGGCGGGAAAGACAAGAAGATGATGTGACACATCAGTTCTGTTCTAAATCCTAGATCTACTATCTACAGTTGATGCATAGCAAAATATTGAGTTTTTAGTTAATTACAATACAGTTCAAAAGTTTGAGGTTGGAAATATTTTTAATGTTGTTGAAATAAGCCTCTTTATGTTGGGTGCATTTATTTGATGGAAAATACAGTTAACAACTACTGTGAAATATAATTAGAATTTAAAATATAGTTTAAAGTGTCATTTATTCAAGAAACATGTCTTGTTAAAAACAGCTATGCTGCTTAATATTTTTGCTGTGACTGATACTTTTTTTTTTTTCAAGATTTTTTGATGAATAGAAATTTAAAAAGAACAGCGTTTATTTGAATTGTCAGTTCATTCTAGGATTTGTTGCTGGTACTGATACATGCAGTGCCCTCTTAGGTTTATCTATCAATGAATCCTCTAAGGCAGTGTCTTCACGTTGCGTGCTAGGTTTTACAAGAGAGTTGTAATGACTGTTGGAGCCAGTAACTGTAATGTCAAATATGTTTCTCTCTTTTACTCATCATGTCTTACCCAGCCCACTGCTCTCTTCTGGTTCTCACACTTCCTGTATCTTTTCTTTGTTCTCTCTTTAGCTCTATGGTGATCCGAGACCTGACTCTCCGCAGTTTTTTTTTTCAAGATTTTTTGATGAATAGAAATTTAAAAAGAACAGCGTCTTTACTGTCCCTTTTGATCAGCTGAATGCATCCTTGCTGAGTAAAAGTATTAATTTCTTTCAAAAGAAAAATCTTACTGAGCCCTAAACCTTCAAACAGTGGTGTAGGTATAAAATAAAACAATTAACTTAAAGTAAAAAAAATACATTGAATTTATAATAAAACATTTAATTTGAACAAATTTTGTATTCTTTAGCTCTATGGTGATCCGAGACCTGACTCTCCGCAGTGCTGCAAGCTTCGGCTCATTTCACCTAATCCGCCTGCTTTATGATGAGTACATGTACTATCTGATAGAGCACAGAGTTGCCCAGGCCAAGGGTGAAACTCCCATTGCTGTCATGGGAGAGGTACAAACACACTCAGACACAGAAATCTTTACCTGATCTCAGACACACTTCTCATTTCAGTGTGTAAGACAAAACTAAAGTGTGTCACTCCTCTCATAACAGGATATTAAACTGAGGAACTGTGAAAGACCGATTCTGACTGTAGTGTTTGAAATGTCATAATTCTCTCTTTTGCTCCTTAAGTTTGCAAGTCTTGGTCGAAGTTTGAACCCGCTTGATCCTGATAAAGGTTAGTAGTTTTACACACAAACCCCAAATACACAATAATCAAGTCACAGATTTGTAATAGTTTCTTCTTCATTTACTAAATTCAGGTTTTAGTGAAAAAAAAATCAATCAGTTAATTTCCCAAAGCACCCAAGCAACCACAACTCAGAACACCACATAGCAACCAACAGGCCAATTAAAAAATGAAACTATAAAAATTCAATTAAATTTATAATAATAATCATTATTATAATTATAATATAGATGATTATAATTTTAATGCCATTTTAAAATAATTAAAATGATCAGATGGATTATCAGTATTTTGAAAAAAAATGTTGACACATTGAATTTTTAATAATAAAACTATATTTTAAAATGAAGTAATGATAATTATCATTCATTTTTATTGTCATTTTAAAATAATTAAAAAATACCAGATGGATTATCGATATTTTGAAAGAAGATAAAAAAAATAAATATATAAATAATATAAATGATTATTTACAGTAATTTATAATTAATGTAAGTTAAATGCAATTAGTTAAAGTAGTTAATGTATTTCAATGCAATAATTAAAAATATCAAATGTTTTATCAATATTTTGAAAAAATATTACAAATAAAAATATAAAAATATATTGATTTGGTAAAATATATGTATTTAAAATAAAGTAATTATTATTTTCACTAAATTTCAATTTTGTAAATTTTGTAATTTTAAAATAATTACAAAATATCAGATGGATTATCCATTTTTGAATGAAGTTATAATTATTATTAATATTAGTTATGAGTCATTTTTATTGTAATTTTAAAATAATTATAAAATACCAGATGGATTATCATTATTTTGAAAGAAGATAAAAAAATATGAATATAAAAATACATTTAATTTATAATAAAATAATGAAATTGTATATGTACTAAAAATGAAGTGATTATTAATTACAGTAATGTATAATGAATGCAAATTACATTTTAATATAATACAAAATATAAAATATATTATTAATATTTTGAAAACAAAAATATTACAAATAGAAACACATTGATTTGGTAATAATAAAAATGTCTATGTATTTAAAATAAAGTAATTATTATTTTCACGAATGTATAATGTGATTTAAAGTTGATTGTAATTTTAAAATAATTAAAAAAATATCAGATGGATTTCAGTACTGAATAAAATATATGTATTTTTTATAACTGACAGTCTCTATATGTCTTTGTGTCTCAGAAGAGGAAGAGGAGGAGGAGGAAGACAGCGACGATGAGTGTCAGGAGTTGTCTCTGCAGTCTGATGGGGGCGCTATCGGGGACGAATCTCTAGAACCGCCCGCTAAGCTGGCTCGAACCGACCAGAGGGTGCTGTTCACCACAGGAAGCATGGATAACTAAGAACTTGAATACACACATGCACCTACAAGCACACGCTCCACATAACACTCGCCCATCATTCCTGCACTTAAACCAACACATGCATCTAAAAAACAGAAATGCTGCAGCTGCATATTTACACAACATTTCAGATGTTCGTATGTACATTTCCATGCCCGTCGACGTCTCAAATGCACATATACACAAGCATTCACTGAAACACAGAGACACAGATAGTGCCACCCTCACACACTCATAACATGAGCACCATCACCGATCATATCAAGATCTTAGACAGGGTGTAGAGGTCACTAACAATAGCTCTCGAATCTAAACCTGATTCTGTCTCTATTAGCTGTTAAGACGCAAGAACACAAATGAAACCTGCTGCAACTGGATCCTAAGAGTCGTTCGCGATAGACTGAACTCTGATTGGCTACTGAAACCTGAATGAAACTGTCAGTCAAGCTTTTTTTTAACCTGAAATGGTTGTTAGGGAGAAAAGATGGACTGTAAGTGTGCGTGTTGTGTGTTGATGTATACTTTCTGCCTATCCGTGCGTTGTTCGTGTGATTGTGAGTGACCCGGGACCTTATCGTTTTTATCGGCTAGCGCCAACGCGTGTGTTTTTGTGCATGATGTGCGAATGACCGTCCGTGGTTCTCAAGAAGTGTTGATAGTTGTTTTCGTCAGTGGTACCTTTTTAAGTTCTTGATGCCTTCAGTGACTGCCATGTCAGTAAATGCGTTAAGCATATTACAGCCCGGCTCTTTAAAAACTCAATTTCCCATGAGTCTACTGGGTGTATGTGATTCAGCTGGGTTGTGTATTTTTGATTTTTAGGGCTAGTCTATACATACCTCTGCAAATGACAGCAGTTTGCCAGAAATGAGAGGAGAGGTCAACTCCCAACAACCCCCTCCCCCCGGTTTTCCTCTCACTTCTTATTTTTTTATATGGTTTTTCGTTTTATTTGGTTGCACTTTTTCTTCTTGCCAAACGTCGTCCTGAGCTTGGCACAAGACATTAAATGTTTCTGTCCTTACATTCTTTTTTCTATGGTCACAAAGTGACAATCTCGATGTGTACAGCGTTGTCTAACACTGTTTAGTGCATATTTGATGGTTTGCTGTGTGTTTGAGATTTGGGTCAAGATCTTTTACTAGAACCCTTCAAACAAACTTGACATAACTGCCCATAGTAGCTAGGAAATGTCAAAGTAGAGAACGAAACGATCTTTCGGCCATTTCCTTCTCAAGACTCGTTCATTTAATTCTGTTCTTGTGTTGTGGCATATTTAATTATCAATTTGAGAGAACTACAGTACATTAAAACTCTATATCCCATATCATTCGACATATGTAAACTACGATTATTTCTGCTGTAGATGCTGACTGATCTCAAACCAGCATGATGCTTTTCTTTCCCTCTGATTCTCTTGATCGAACCACAGGAAACATATCAGAAGATCTGGAGATCCTCTCTGTATGACAGCCATTTTCATAACAAAATGAATTTCCCTTTTCACTTTTTTGAAGTTGTTTCCATTTCTTGGGGGGGGAACAAAAAAAAAAGAAAAAGTGTGGCAGTGTTTTGAGTAATCTGAACCATGAGAATGGTTGTGCCTTTGCAGTTATCAAATGAAATCCAGATGTTTTTAATTTAAAATATTAATAAATTAATAATTTCTAAAATTGTGAATTGTTTCAACTATCTAGTTGTATGTACTTTTTTGGTCAACTACTCTTGAATCCATCACACCTACGCTGTGATAATGATTCGTCAGTGCCTTACTAACTGTAGTCTTAACATCAGTGTGCGACATCCTGTCCAAAACCAGCAAACGTGACAAGGAAACATCACATGTGGTAAAGAGAGGGGGTTTATGCGTTTACTTGCCAAGGTACTTTCCTGTCAGATTGTCACATTATGTATCTTATATATATATATATTTAATGCACTTTATAACAAGTCATCATTATTTTGATAGTACTTTATACAATAGTAATAGTTTCAAAGCAGCTTAAACAGGAAAGTAACAATCAAAGATGCAACTCAGTTGTTAACTAAAGCACTGTAAAGATAGAGACTTGTTCCCTGTAGATGCCTTTGCCGAAGTTCAGAAGGTCAGGTGGAAATTTTCAGTCAGACCACAATGAGCTTGCTTTGAAAATCTGCAGTCCTCCAAATAGGTTCTCACTGGTATCAGTGGTTTCCTTTGCTGTTTGCTGAACTGTAGATTTCCCAGGCCAGTCAACTTGAGTTTCTTCTCAGTTGTTCCTAGGAAAAGCATCCTGTAATTTCTCAAAGATCTTAAAACTGAAAACATTGTGGTACATTTTTATCTATAACACGTGCTTAGCACAGATACTCCGGGGAGCTTCCATGTGCCATCAATAGGGGGCAGAATAATACTGCTTTTTTTGTTTTCAGTGTTGTTGGCGCACATGGCACAGGACAGCTAAGAGTAACGGGACATTATAATTAGACTTCAGACACCACAGTAAGCTGTTAGTTTATCAAACCTGGTGTATTTTATTTGAATTGTACACTCGTAAAAAATAAAGGTTCTTTATTGGCATTGATGGTTCAATGAAGAACCTTGAACATTGTTGAACTTTTTCACTGCACAAAACATTCTTTTTTAAAGGTTTCATTTCATTTTTTAAAGTTGTGTCCCAAATGACGCAATATACACTATGCACTTATTCTATTCACTATGTGGGCTACTGAGTGTTGACAGTTGAATGTTTGAAGTGTTCAACATTCACTCTTTTCTTTTTTTTTCTTTTTTTTAAATCAGTGCATCATCCGGTGATTTGAAGTGCACTTTTTCTTTTTGGAATTTTCAGTGTGAACACACCAAGAACACTTTTTATACTAAAAAATGTCATAGAATAAAAAAATAAAAAAAATAATTTTGTCTTCACTTGGTGCAAATTCACAGGTTAGAGTTCACCAAACTTGAGCTTTGACTTCTTTGCATGTGCTTGCGTTTCAGGTCTCCTCCATTCGCATGCATATGTATATGTATTTATATATGAACGCAAGTCTGTGGAATGAAAAGTGTAGTGTGACAAGCCCTTAAAGGGTTGGTTCACCCAAAAATGAAAATTGGCTTGTGTTTTACTCACCCTCGAAGCATCCTAGCTGTATATGACTTTCTTCTTTCAGATGAATCCAGTCGGATTTATATTAAAAATTGTCCTGGCTATTCCAAGCTCTATCATTGCAGTCAGCGGGTGTTGCAGTTGAACAGTCTACAAGTCGTCAAATAAAGCGTGCGCATCCATAATAAAAGGCGCCTCACACGGCTCCGGGGGGTGAATAAAGGCCTTCTGTAGTGAATCCATGCGTTTTTGTAAGAAAAATATCCATATTCAAAACTTAATAATCACTTGAATCTAGCTTGCGCTCACTGT